AGATAGATAGATAGATAGATAGATAGATAGATAGATAGATAGTAGATAGATAGATAGATAGATAGATAGATAGATAGATAGATAGATAGATAGATAGATAGATAGATAGATAGATAGATAGATAGATAGATAGATAGATAGATAGATAGATAGATAAATAGATAGACAGATAGATAGATAGATAGATAGAATGGATAGAATAATTTTACGATGACAATAGCTTCTATATATTATATTGCATATATAATAGCTTTATGTGAGAATAATGAGTATTATAGTAGATTATTAGCACTGATAATATCAGCAGTAGGCCTACATGATATAGATTACATTATAATAGAAACGAGAGCAGTCAATAAAAACAAAAATGTTATTATTCTTTATTTTTCAATGAAACGATTTGATTTTATTCACTACCGATGATATGTATCTCTACATTATTAACTCCTGATGATATTCACATTGGAACGTCACTCTTCGCAGAGTTCTTCGTGATCGGCATACACGCGAGCCCTGAATCGGCACGCGTGGAGGTGGACAAGCTAGCGGACGTGTACGCCGATGCCATCGCTCGAGTTCCGGACATCACGGTATATATGCGCATGTGCGCGCTACATCACCGTGATTTGTACAGGTTGAAATTCGTTCACACCAAAAAGAGCGAATGGAAAAATTGAGAAAGATAAACAGAAACAGAGATAGATGGTGATATACTGGGAGACCGTAGGAGAGAGATAGACGGGCAGAGAGAAAGGGGGAGATAAAAACATACACAACACAAACACGCAATAATTTTAGAGGGAAGAAGAATATTAATTCGTAAACATACCTCATGCAATGCACTCCTAATATCGCCTTATATATATATATATATATATATATATATATATATATATATATATAAATATATATATAATTATATACATATTGCTTAAAAACAAAATAAAATTCTAATAATTAATATTACTATAAAATGCGTGTGCTATACAATGCAATGCGTACGTTTTTGCACTCGTGAGCTGGCATTATAGAAATAAGATATCTCAATATATTTCTATGGCTGGCATCCACTGACCCATGCCATGCGTTATAACCTTGTTTACTGTCCACTCGCTCAGAGGTAACTGCAAGTGCAGCGTGTCATGCGGAGATGCTATAGCGGGGTTGACCGTTCGATGACACCCGTGTGTTGTCATTGCACATAATAATCACTGTAATCAATCATTGCATTTGCGGAAGCTAAGTATGATCCCGTTTCCAGATTAAACTTGCGATTACTGTTAGCAACAGAAATCACACCCACCACCGCGCATGCGCGCGTGTGTTCCAAAAACGGTTTGCACGTAACGAGAGTCACGTAGCAATAAATAGAATAGGTAGAAGAAGATAGATAGATAGATAGATAAATAAATAAATAGATAGATAGATAGATAAATAGATAAATAGATAGATAGATAGATAGATAGATAGATAGATAGATAGATAGATAGATAGATAGATAAATAGATAAATAGATAGATAGATAGATAGATAGATAGATAGATAGATAGATAGATAGATAGATAGATAGATAGATAGATAGATAGATAGATAAATAGATAGCATAGATAGAAGATAGATAAGCATAGCATAGATAGATATGTTAGATAGATAGATAGATAGATAGATAGATAGCATAGATAGATAGATAGAATAGAATAGATAGATCGATAGATAGCATAGATAATAGCATAGATAGATAGATAAGATAGATAGATAGATAGATAGATAGATAAGATAGATAATCAGATAGGATAGATAGATAGATAGATAGATAGATAATAGATAGACAGATAGATAGATAGATAGATAGAATAGACTAGATAGATTAGATAGGATAGAAATAATTTTTACGATGACAATAGCATCTATATATTATATTGCATATATAATAGCTTTATGTGAGAATAATGAGTATATATAGTAGGATTATTAGCACTGATAATATCGCAGGTTAGGCCTACATGATATAGGATACGGATTATAATAGAAACGAGAGCAGTCAATAAAAACAAAAATGTTATTATTCTTTATTTTTCAATGAAACGATTTGATTTAATTCACTACCGATGATATGTATCGTTACATTATTAACTCCCTGATGATCATTCACATTGGAACGGTCACTGCTTCGCAGAGTTCTTCGCTGATCGCATATCACGCGAGCCCTGAATCGGCACGCGTGGAGGTGGACAAGCTAGCGGGACGTGTACGCGATGCCAGCGCCTCGAGTTCGGACATCACGGTATATCATGCGCATGTGCGCGCTACATCACCGTTATTTTGTACAGCGTTAAATTGTTCACACCCAAAAAGAGCGCAATGCGAAAAATGGAAAGTAAACAGAAAACAGAGAATAGATGGTTATATACTGGCGAGACCGTAGGAGAGAGATAGACGGCAGAGAGAAAGGCGGAGATAAAACATACACAACACAAACACGCATAATTTTAGCAGGAAGAAGAATATAATTCTAAAACATACTCGATGCCAATTGCCACTCTCCTAATAATCAGCCTTATATAATTATATATATATATATATATATATATATGTCAACGCATTAAGCCTACATTCACTATATACCGCCTCACTCCAAAATGAGATATATCATATCTGACGCACCTAACTTAATGTTGCAGGATAGCATTATAATGGGCGACTTCAATGCAGACTGCGACTACATATGCGCAAGCTGCTTTGACGCCCTGCGTCTTTGGACAGAGAGTGAACGGTACGACTGGGTGATTCCACACACGTTCGACACGACAACACGTGTATCAAACAGACTGCGCGCTACGACAGGTAAGCTCGAATAAAATCAAAACTTGTATATGCAATTATATCCATGCGTATCTTTTAGATCACAGGCCTCATACGCCGAACTGTATCCTTTTTCTGTAGACTCTTAAGATATCGTAAGAGGTAACACTGTACATTAAAAAATGTCACTTGGGACATTAATTGAGATTTGACGTTAAGTAACTTGAATTTTTAAGAAGAGCCTCACGATTGTAGTGATGTAGATAAGTACAACTTCAATCGCATTCATCTTATGTCAGGACGTTGAAATAATAAATAGATTATTCATTACTAGATTATTATTCAACTCCTGATCTTCTCTATATAGTTTATATTACTTGACTAGCTGTGACTAAGCTTGACTAGCTGTGACTAATATTGAATAAAATGCCTTGTTACAGATTTGTTCTCACGGTGACAGTATGAAGAGCAGTTTTGTCGCTCCAGCTGCCATATACGACTTCCAAACAGAATACAATCTCAATAAAACATTTGTAAGAAGCATATCTAATACCTACTTTCGATACCAAATTCTAAATACAAATATCGATATAACGTAATTTAATTTAACTTGCACACTCTGTTGTATCCTGGCGAAGAGACAAAGTCATGAAGGCGCGGTAATATACGACGCCTCAATCCTACACTTGATTGTTTCTACCATATTTTTATGTTGTGTCTTCATTAGTGTCCATGTGCTATATATATATATATATATATATATATATATATATATTAACATATTATATTAAAAGGTTTTTCACTAACCTTAAACGACCATTTACTGCATATTTCCAACGAACATGATACGATGGATGATTGAATGAAGATGATAAATCTTTACAGTCTGGATATCTTCTATGTTGTTATAGACAGAAGACGTGAGCGACCACTATCCCATCGTAATGACGGTGCGTGATGTTTGCACGGCCGCCCTGTACATCACGGCCTGGCACATACCGACTTTTGGCAACAAGCGGATGGATGACGAGGCCATCGTGGACATCATCGTGAAGGCTAGTATTGTCAGACACGCTCATCGGGCGCCGTTCGACTAATTAAGATTCAGCAAACTCAATGTGTGGTATTACTGGCGACGTATTACATACGCTCACGTACGCGCGCACCCATCTCTCATACACAGACACACACGCACTCATGCACGCGCACGCACACAGACACACAAACCCATACCCGTGCACACACCAACGCACACACACGCACGCACGCACGCACGCACTCGCACGCGCACACATGCACACACAAACACACACTCACACACACACACACACACACACACACATCGGAACCCTAGATATATATATAGATATTATAGATGTTTAATTTGGTGCATCGTTTCGTTTAGGTTATGGCACAAAGTGATATTATCTTCATTCAAGGAATCCAAGATAGCGAGGAAAAGTTACATACAAACCTACTGGACAGTCTGAAGTAAGATATAGGTTGCACGTCTCGCCAATAAAACAATCAATGAAATTTCACCAGTGCTTTCCCATATTATACATCTTTAACGTGTGCCTACTCAATGAAGATTGGCATGTTTCTAAATGTTCCTACCAACAAAAACACCCATGCAAATTACACAGTCTTGGTGGGTGGATATTTTATCTGCATACCTACTACCCTAAACACGTAATTTCTGTTTCAAAATAATACTTTTTGAAACTGACAAATCACAAAATATTACATTACTACTGTTATTTTGCTATATTCTTTCTAACTGCGATGTGTTTTGTGCAGTGGTGGATCTAGAGGGGGGGTTGCCTCCCTCCCCCCCCCCTCCCGTTCAGCCACTGACTAATGTTATGATGTGGTTAATATTATCGTGGCAATTAACGGCGACGTCGGAGCGCCTTTTTCGTGTACATTAGCATAGCTGGAAATCATGGCGCGATGCTGCGAGCAATATGAAGCATGTCGATTAGATTTTACAATGCACACGTGCCGTCAGCCCGCCCGCGACTAGCTTGAACGTATCAGAACGGCCGAAGAAAATTATCTTGGCAGTCAACGGTCACGTACGCACGAGCGTCATCTTCATGTTCATTAATATCGGCATAGCCGGGAACCCAGAGCGTGATGCTGCATGCAAAGTGAACATTTTAGACTGGACTTTACCAAGCACACGTGCTGTCAGCCTGCCCGGCTCCAGTTTGAACGTATAAAAACGGCCGAAGAAAATTATTTTGGCAGTCAACGGTGACGTACGCACGAGCGCCATCTTCATGTTCATTAATATAGCATAGCCGGGAACCCAGGGCGTGATGCTGCGAGCAAAGTTAAACATTTTAGATCGGATTTGACCAAGCACACGTGCTGTCAGCCTGCCCGGCTCCAGTTTGAACGTTTAAAAACGGCCGAAGACAATTATCTTGGCAGGCAACGGTGACCAACGTCGGTCCGGGAGCGCTTTTTTTCATGTACATTAGCTTAGCTGGGAATCGTGGCGCGATGCTGCGAGCAAAATGAAGCATGTAGATCATATTTTACCATGCACACGTGCCGTCAGCCCGCCCGCGACTAGTTTGAACGTATCAGAACGGCCGTAGAAAATTCTCTTGGCAGTCAACGGTGACCGACGCACGAGCGCCATCTTCATTTACAATATAATATCGGAATATCGGAAGTGGCGGATCTAGAAGGGGCTTGGGGGGGGGGAGGTTGCAACCCCCGTTCCCCCCGTTCAGCCACTAACTAATGTTATGATACTAGTAAAATGGGGCAAAAAAAAGTCAGTCTGCAGGCAGATAGAAACTGGGGATTACTCGCCTTCACTCAAATATCACCCCCCCCCCTCTCCCCGTCTCCTAAAAGCTAGATCCGCCCTTGAAGGCGATGGAATTTAGCTATCATGTGTGTTATGCATATATACGATGTACTGAAATATATGATAGATGTGTTGTTCTATATATTCTAGTACTTATTATGAGGGAACTAGTGGAATAAGCAACGCTTATAGTGTCGTCGCTAGTCAAAGACTAGGGACATCTACACTAGAGCAATACGCTTATTATTACAGGTATGTATGTACAGGAAACAGTTGAGCATAGGTAGGCCTAATTAATGAAAGACAGTATAGATCAGTACAAAAATGCGTATCCCGTTTTATATACATAACTATACTTTATATATAATTATATATATAACCATATTTTTATATACTGTAGCTACGTAAATGTACCGACAACGTTTTTAACACATCAAATAATTTCATCTAAAATATCTCGTTCTTCCGCGGGAATTTCGCAGGAATGACAAGGTGAAACTCGTGCATCACTACCTGTACAACGACGCAGGCAATGACTACCCGTACGACCCCATGGTAGCCTACTTCTCTCCTATAAATGGCATAGGATTACATGGTAAATCATCATGAATAGTTGACACACACACACGCCCGCACGAACGCACGCACACAAACACACGCACACGCACATGCTCTCGCGGATTCCACTTCGCGCTCCTATTCAGAATTTTAAATTTGCTCAATTTGCTCAATAACATTTACGGAGAGTTGATATCAACAAAATGATGCATAGACTCGCCGCTGATTTGAAATCCGCAGGTGACATGCAAGACTTCTTCATAATCGGAGCTCGAACTAGAGCAAGTAGCGCCACTAGAAGCATGACAGACAAACTAGTGGATGTCCACGCTGACGCTCTCACAAAGTTCCCGCTCGTGACCGTGCGTATATAGTATTAACGACAAGATCAAAGAATCCTATAGGGCGCTTGTTAAATACCAGATGTACACCTAACGCATTAACGCAGCGCTTACTTTGCACCATGCGATATACACCGTAAAGGGTATATTTCATATCGGTGTAAGCCCAGGAACTAGACCACACACTTCTAAAAATTAATTCGAATTATTCCGATACGATCTACAATACAATCGTTATAACAAATGCCAAATTCGTTTCGCGAGCAAGCGTAGGAATCTATTTTTTATAAACGTAGCGGAAGCTAATCTACTAAGACTAATCGATATAGTTATAACAGTTAGTAGGTGATGTACGTCAAGCATAGCTGAACGTCGCATTCGCCGACAAAAACATCGCATTAATTACCCATAACATTTTACATGGCATGCGACACGAGCAGAACGGAATCATACTGGGTGACTTGTTCGCCGACTGCTCATACATCTGCGCTAGCTGCTTCGACGCCATACGGCTGTGGACGGATGAACAGTACACCTGGATTATCGACGCCGACACGACGACCACCGCTAGTGACTGCGCATTTGACAGGTATGTTCGATGATGACTAGCTATATATGTCGGTGGTTACCGACCGCTGCTGAGGCTGTTTGCGTGTATGTACGGCACTCTGGCTTTGACGCTTATGACACCGGGAGGCGTATAGATAGCGATGATGTGTGGCGGAACAACAACGCGATACAAGCAATAGAGCGCAAGATAATAAGAGAGAATCAGAGAGAATGAGTGAGGAGAGTGAGAGAGAGAGAGAAGGTCTGTGCGCGTACAAGCAGGAGCGAGAGAAAACGAGAGAGAGAGTGAGAGAGAGAGGATGGTCTAATTACAAGTAACCATTAATACTACCTAAACACCGCTTCCTTTAATCAGCTGTGCGCAATATCTATATCTGGCAATAATTCTCCGTTGTCATTGAACAGTGATTAATTCGTGGCATGATTATTACATTCGCAGGCTTGTGGTTACTGGAAATCAGATGAAGACACAGACTATCGCAGCCGTAGTTGACTTCAAGATGATGTATAACCTCAACGATTCGATGGTAAGATCAAATACAAACTCATTGTCGTTGTGCTAAACCTAATAAAGATACGTTTGAACACGTAGGATTAAATCGAATACATTTTTCGAGTAATATTGGCCGTGCGGTTATAGCTGCTTACGGTGTATTTGCAACAATTCTTATTGTCATAAAAGAAATTTGAAATTGGCCGTGCCATTCACTTCGCATCTAGTTAACCTCCTCGTGAAATATCATCTAAATGTTTGAAGGTAGGCCTATCTAATCTATGTCCCTGTTCTCTCTTTTATCACAGGCGCGTAGTGTCAGTACGCATTTTCCCGTCACAATGCCCATCTGTGAGTCAAACCAGGTTTAGTTGAAGATAGAGAAAAAACAAGCGACATAACTTTGCGCGTCGCGACAATCGCCAGTTTGCTATCGCACCCGATCATTACAAAAACGGGATCACGAAATAGAACATGATAGAAATGAAAATATTTCATTCTTACTGTATTACTTATGAAGCGATAACGAACGTATGGTTTCTCGTGGAATGACTTATCAGTAAAACTATCATTAATTAAATTATTTTAATAAGGATTTACTAATCAATTTAATTATTAAAATAATTATTATGTAACAGCTAATTATATTGGCTCCCAGGTTCTGCGAAGGTGACCTCAAGAGACGTGCCATCGCTTGCACGTGGGCTAGCAATCTTAGTGCACCGTGGCTCATTCCGCATACTGCAATGGCTTTTAGGGCTAATATAGGCTTATTATACGCTATTTGCTGCAACGTGTTAAGTAGTAATGCAGACATGCGAGTAAGGATAATGGGCGCGGAACGTTTATATGTAGTTGTGCATTCATGCGAGTGTGACAGATATAAATGTGCTTTATTCACAGCAATTATGCCGTTTACAGTTATATCCTGTTTGTGTTGCTCTACCTCTTGCACTCATCCTTTTGCCGTATTTCACTGATTGCGTCATACATAGGTATCTTAACCACGCGATACCGCATATACGGCCAACAATGAACCCGCCAACAATAATATTCTATAGTTTAACGCTGGGTATACGAAATTAGTGCTGGCCATCAGCAATGTTAATATATACGCAGCCGGATTGCGTGCACAAGTAACACGCAGCAATACTACTAGCTTAGTAAAATAGAAAGCCACCATGTTTCCATGTCCTAGTAACCATATAGTAATATGTACCAATTACTGCAGCATAGCATGCAATCCGTTAGTATACGCGTAGGTTCATCTGTCATTTTCCTCCTACTTCAAATCGCAACATATTCGCAAGGAAACATGCTCGCTGTGTCATACACACACTGCCAAGCACGATCAGCTAGATTTCTACTATACGAATATTTGCTTATATTCTCCTCAGCCGTGCCCTGCTTCCCGGCCCGGACATTGTGGCCCGAATTTCAACGCTTCACACAACCTCACTGCAGACTAAGCCCAAACATTATAAATATAACCATAGTACACGTAAATGACATGACACTTAACAATAAAACATATCAAACAAATGTTCTACGCGAACAGAAAGAAAGCAAAAGAAACTTAGTGAAAGCGCGCCCAGTTTGCGGTGGCCCAAGCACCTTTTATCTTCAGTGACTGACACGCGAATTCAGCGTTGCGCGCGCGCAAATACAAATATATTTCGTCACCGAGTGGTGAATGAAGGTACAGTGGGCTTTTACCCTGGAAGCTTCAGTCTGTCATAGCAGCTACGTACACGTGAAGTTGACGGGTGCGGGGTGAGTGCGTGAGGGGGTGGGGGTTTACTTGTACACGACTATCCCACACGCGCGTATTGGCACAAACAGGATCGAAGTCAGACAAGTCGATAAGCGGTCAGGGCGTTTCAAGCAGTCGACAGGGTACAGAATTACAGCGCGCGATGCACAACATATACGTTTGGCATAAATACATACAAATATATATTAATATATAATATACTAATAGAATAGAATAAATAAATATAATATAATATATATATATATATATATATATATATATTGCACAAGCATTTCATAGTAATTAGTAGAGTTTCATATTATTTTTTAAAGCAATGTATACACACACACACACACACACTTCTCTGTGTGTGTGTGTGTGTGTGTGTGTGTGTGTGTGTGTGTGTGTGTGTGTGTGTGTGTGTGAGAGAGAGAGACAGAGATAATTTGGTGTTAAAGATATTGTGATCCTTTTTGTCATTGATTTTGCCCTAATGTCATTCTGTCGGTATATGCGCCATAACAGTAATACTTAAAGCGCGATATTTAACCGTAAGTTATTAAACACTGCGTCGTCCCAAGTGTAAGCTAATGGGCTCGCAATAAAGCCACTCGGGTAATGCTTTAGTGACTAGAATGCGGAGTCTTTCGCAGTACTTACATCTAGTTAAACCACCGCGGACATCTGTAGTTGATATTCCCCCACTAACATTTTATTTTATTTTAATGAAGTAAATGTTTATTTAAATGCTAGTTAATTTGTTAGTAAATCCCCCGCGCGCACACACTCATGCACGCACACATACACGCATGCACGCGTACACGCGCGCATACGTGAGAAACGGTAACCTACTCATGTTACGTTGATATGATCAAACATTGTTAAGAACTCCGCGACCAAGTACAACTAAAGCCACTTATGGGCTAGTCTAGGAAGCCTGGGTTATTGGGATTATACATTGAAGGAGTAGAGTACCGAAATACTCGGTTTTGTTGCCAGTCAATCCCCCAGATTTTTCTAGCGTCTCGTGTAGGCGTATGGCACTTCCTCTGATGCATGAATGGCATTTCCTCTTGTGGTACAGTTAGCTACTGCGTGTTTCTTTAATTCTCTTCCGTGTTTGTTACTTGTATTCTATTCTATTCGCGGAGGTAGAATAAATACGGAAGTAGCTATTTCTAACATCTTTTGTGCGAGAGGAGTCCCTGTTGTACTATCGCATTACAAAAAAATAGAAGCAATGTTGTGGAATTCTTATCTTAAAACTCTAAAGTTACGTAGATTCTCACTTTTAGACCAATAGGTCTATTTTATAGCTTGATGAAAATAAAATGAATCTTTTAAAGACATTGCGTGATGAATGGGAAAATTTATCTCTAAAATATGCCTGAAATGTGTCTCAAATCTTTAGAATAACATCTGGTGACTGCCTATATGAAGTGGTGAAAGAAGATAGCGCATTGTGGGGCATGCGCTAACTGAGAAGAGTTGTAGAAGCGCCCTATACTCATATACACGTGGTTATCATTCCGGATTTCCTACCACTCCTGTTCCTATTTAGATCGACACATGAAATCACACACACTCAGTCACTCGCTTTCCTATTCCTATCGCAGTCTGCTTTACGTGCACTCGAATGCGCACACATACAAATCACACTGACTCGTAATTCAGGTGTGCGCTTAAACGCGTCAGCTTCACCTGCCTGTGAATTTATACCGTGGTGCTGCTATTGTTCCTGCGATAACTGATGGTCAAGTAACGTGTTAGCAGCGAGCGCATAACAACATAACAAGATGGGTATGCGGACGTTCGTCGCTGCTGTTGCGTGTGCGATGGTAGCGGGGATGCTCGCCACGTCACCGCCTGCAGGTACGCTATAGTTGATTATTCGTGAAGATTGCGACATTGCGCCACGTCCGTATGTGATGGCAGGCATCAATCTCTTCACAAATTCACAAACATGTATTTCCTCACGCTCTCTCTCTCTCTCTCTCTCTCTCTCTCTCTCTCTCTCTCTCTCTCTCTCTCTCT